AATTTTCTCGAATCCTTGCCCTCAAACTTTCGTCTTCATCTTCGATTGAAGCCGTCGCCATTTTACGATAATCAATGCGTCATTGTTTTAAAGGGGATTCCCCTTTTTCTGTTAGACCTACTGTAGCTAGTTTCTAAAAACCTTTAAGCATTGTCTGGTTATATTAATGTACATTTGAGTACCATAATAAAAAATGCTATCAAATATTAAATCGGTTAAGAGGTTAAAATTAAAGATTACGATGGAATTGCCCTCAAAACGAGTGCTGCCTACTCTACCCACTTTATATAACAATCCACACTGTAAAAACAGTGCTTAGCATTTAAATACATACAACATACGTTAAGCACCTATACGCATTTAGAAATATGTGTAAAAGCTAAGCACGTATAGCTTTTCAAGCGTTTTACAGAAGAAAATGCTAGACACATTGGCAGTGTTACACGTTTAGCTATGTGCTTAGCTTCACCGGTATATGGATCTATAATAAGTCTATCACAAACTAAGCACATTGGCTAAGCACTTCCCCTGCTAAGCGCGTGAGGCTGCTAAACACATGGAGCTGCTATAGGTGTGGAATTCCTAAACGTGTGGAGCTGCTGAACAATACCCTCTACCAAGGCCGCAGTTCTTGGGGACATTTTTCGCTGAGACGACATTAGATCAAATTGACTATCTATTTATCTAGAGACATATCTGTGAATATCTGTGAAAAATCAATCTGTCGCCCTGGTAGAGGGTAGCTGAACAACAAGTTTAGCTCTTCAAGCTTCTTTCAGAAGAAATAAAAAATGTTTAGCATTCTTAGAAACGTCGCACTTTTAGCTATGTGGTTAGTTTCACCGGTCCCATAAGTTTATTACAAGGCTCAACAATTTTGCTTAACACTTCCCCTTGTAAACGTGTGGAGCTGTTGAAGGCGTGGAGCAGTCTGCTCGAACGCTTTGTGTCCTTCCTTGCAGTAACGCGTGCTTACTTAAAATAGGCCTATTAAAGATGCATACAAAGTCAATTTTTTGCTCAGAAACCAACCAAATACCAGTATATAGTTTCGTAAAAGTATAATTAAGAAAATTGCCAGAAGGCATTAATTAATATTACCTGAAAAATGATATTTGAATGGATTTTTCTGTTAGCTTACTATCCTGTATATACATGGGGCAGAAAAGTAGGTCACATAAGTAGGTTAAATTTCTGACCAAATTTTTAAAGAGCAGTCTAAAGCTCTTTTATGGCTGATCGAGTGATTTATTCAGTTTGTCCCTTTATTTGAGTCGTATAAGAATCTAGTAGAAGTGGTTTATATGTGTTACTGGCAACCCACGCTCCACCGATGCTCGGTTCATATGTACCTTTAAGTAATAATCCAAATAACAAATAACGTTTTCACGACGTTATCAGATGGTTACATGCTGGTAATGGTATAGAAGAACATTATGGTAACGTTATGGGTGTTTTAACTCCATGCAAAATGATGTACAGTAACGTCATAATTTGTAAAAAATTCGAAGACCGTTTCTACAAAATTTTATGATACATGTAACGTCATTTTGTGGAGTTTTATCAGCGTGTTTATAACATTCTGGAAAAACATTATATAATGTTTTGAAAACATTTTTGTAATATTAATAACCAAAACACGTCTTATGCTGTTTGAACTACAGTTAGCGGTTAATTCCAAAATGGGCTTGGGGTTAGTCGGCGACTAGAGCGGTGCGAATTGTAGAATATTCGGACTATCGGTAACGAAATAACCAGCATGTGATGAAAGCTTAAATAAAGTATTATAATGAATACCCCACCATCATCCTGATGTTCTATTGTTCATTACTTCCGGAAAAAAAAATAGATATTAATACCGTAACGCATTTTATCAAAATATGGAGAAAGGTGTTTTAAAGTAAAAATGATAGTTGTTTCGTGCCTTTAGTGAACTAGTGAATTTTCCTAACCTGCTTTTCAGAAATACATTTCAATAAACTTCCTTGCAAGGTCAGCTAACACAAGGATGAATTAGTCCAGCTGTAAAGATGATAGTGGGAAGTCAACGATGTTGACAGTTAACGGTACCCTGTTATAGAAAGAGATAACTATAGCAGTTAAAGGTGACCGTGAGTTCGTCTGTGTGTGTGTGTGTGTGTGTGCGCGCGTGTGTGTGCGACCAAAACAGTTGAAACCCTTAGTACCTAAAAGTTAAACAAATACACCCTACATTTATAAGCCGCCAAACGCGTCATACTGCTAAACACAAGCGTGTAACATGTTAAGGAGCTAAGCATGTTAGGAGCTAAACGCGTCGAAAAAGTGAGACAAAACAGGCGCTTAGAAATGTGTTTAGGAGCTAAACGCTGTTTTTACAGTGTATATATATATGCTGGATCTTTGTGTAGGGGAGTCAAAAGTATGAAAAATGACAAACAGACGTCGGAAATAGTACTACACTTTGACAGAAAATTGCTCCATTTTGTCGTTCTTTTTCCTTTTAAAAGAGCAGGAAGAGATAGTCCAGAAGCTGAGGGAAGGGCACGTGCCCACTGCCTCTTCAGGCGATGTTCTTATAACTTAATAATAAAAATTCAACGGTACGCAGCCAGTTAAAGGATAATAGCAACATCAATTGAAAAAAGTGCAAAATGTAAAACTTTTAAGCATCACTTTGATGATATCATTGTCAAGAAAAAAGAGTAAAAAACAGAAGAAATAACGAAATTAAAAAACGAAATACTTCTCCATTTTCTAAGTAGATCATGATCCAAGCAGCTGAGGTTTGAAAAACTTCTTCACGCGAGTACTTAATATAAAATCCCAACAATGCAGCGGTGGGTTTAGGGGGGTGCCAGGGGGGGTCCTGACCCCTTTATCGATTTATGGTCCCCTCTTGATTTTTTTCTAAAATTTTATCAAATTCCTATCATGCGCCATGTGCAGTGGAATTAGAGTAGATTCATATATAGATAAACCAAAGAAGGGGAAGATATATACAATGTGCATTACTCTAAAAAGAAGGAAAGATAGATATATTACTTAAAAATAGCTATTCAGTGGCAAAAGAACTCATATTACCGACCAAGAAAACAGATCAATCTATTATCCCTGACAAATGTACATTTGGTCTACTGACGTCGTACAGCAAAAAAGAGGTTGATTGCATTTAATAACGATCACGCCGTGGCTATAGCATTCATAGTGCACAGGGGATAAGTTTTTTTTAAATTGTAATCAACTGTTAGGCATATTCTTAACTGTTGTCATTGCCAAAGAGCCTAGGAGAAATCATTCTTGAAAAAAGGGGGAGGGGTGAATTGTCGCTAATAGCTTATAGATCGGACAACATAGCCTGCATGAAAATTGAAGGGTACGAGAAGTGGATAGTAATCCTCGAAGGACACCCAACATGCCCGTAGCCAGGGGGGGTTCGGGGGGTTCGAACGAACCGCCCTTTTTGTCGCAAAAATGTCCGCTCTGAGTCAAATTTTGAACATGGTTGTATGTTATTTCTCGCGCTGGGTCAGCTTGGGGGGGTTCGCTGTCCAGCTCAATCTGACACTTTTACAGGTTAACTGAGGAAGTCTGCGTGTGAAAAGCTTGTATGTTACAAACAATAGCCCTTTCCCCGCAGCGGTAGTTAAGCCGATCGCTATCGCACGGCTGGTCGCTGTTCGCCCCGCGAACGACGCTTTGTCCCAAAGTCGACAGCATTAATTACAATGTTATAAATAAACTTACACAAAGGCCCGCTCTTTATCAGGGCTTGGCATTTCCTCCCCGTTGTTTACTGTAATTACTACCCTACAGTCAATGAAACGAAGGTAGGCCTGATCGCATGGCTCATCTTTTGTGAATGAAAAGTCACCCAAACGGGACAGAGTGATAATTGCGATAAGATTTGTGTTTGTGTTTGGTATTCCCTTTATTTTGTAGGTCTATAGTTTCATACCTTCAATAAATATAATTGAAAAAAGCGATTGCGTACTCACACTTCCTAGCAAAAGTCGGGTGCACCTCGCGCTGGTGCCACTCTACCACATTCGGTACGCATTTTCGTGTCACGTGACTGTAAAGCCTCATTCGAGGCAAATGAGAAAGAAGGCGGAAGAGGTGAGAAGACAGAAACAGACAGCAGCCAACAGCTGAAACAGCCGAAACAGCCGAAGAATAATGAATACAGATTGTAAGTAATCCCAATCTTTTTACTAGTTTAAGAAATTTAGGTTTTCATTTGTTTTTGTTTTTTTTTTTTTTTTTTTTTTTGCTCTGGTCTGCATTCAAGCGGTCTTTACTGTTAGCAACTTGAACGAGATTACGACGTAAACATTATTAATTTTGCAGGTAAACGCTACCGACTTCGACGAGGTTTAGCAGGATTTGTCATTTAAATCTAAGTCATTATCTTCCATACCTGAGGTGCGTTCAGGGAAAGTTAATTAGGCTATATTTAAGCTTCAATCGTCATTTATTCCATTTTCAGTTTTTCTTTACATTTTCTTTTTGGTGCAAACACAGAATGAATATGTTTATTTAATTCAAACTGATATGTTTTTTTTTTTTTTTTTTTTTTTTTATTATTGATCTTCAGTTATCTCTCTGGAACAAAAATAAAACTTTCAAAGATGGGCCGCCAGCAACAGAAAGAAAGATTAAGAAAGAGAGCAGCGAAAAGTTGTGCCTCCATCTTCGATTTTTTATCCACCCCAGAAAAAAGGAGAAAAATTGATACTGGTGAGAAGTTCAAATTTTACGTTATATGTTTCTTAAATCTTGGAAGTTTTTTTATGAGACTTTGACACATAAATCCTGTTAGATAAAGCATTGCTTTATTAAATTGCTATGCAACATTGAAAGAGAGTTGATTAATTTGGGTTTAACTTTGGTACATATATAGATGCCCAAAATATAAATGCCTAAAAATTAGCCATATGTACCTCACCATTTTCACTTTCTTTTCTCTAGTAAGTCCCATGCAATCCCCCTTTTTTTTTTTTTTTTTTTTTTTTGTTTAGATGACAGTGTTCCTCAGGGAAGAGATATTTGTCTCAGAGAAGATGAAACAGTTTGCAGTGGAGATTCACTATCTAGTGGCAAGTAATGATATGTAGACTAATTGATTTGCATTGTGTTCACTTATAGTCAATAATTCTTTACACAAAATACTAATAAAATACAAGTATAATTGAGTATTAGTATATCATTTTTGAAAATATTGCAAGCAAATATAAGACATCAAATTAGCTTGAAATGTAATTTTTACATTTGAGTAAATAAATTTCTGAAATGATTTACTGCTTTTTTTTAATTTCAGCTGATTTTTGCTCTACAAAAGATTTATGTTTTAGAGAAGATGAAAGTTCATCTGGTAAGAGATTCATTTGTACTGTTAAATGTCATAATTCTTAGATATATGATGCTTTAAAAGGGTAAAAAAAACAATATTTAAAAGACCTAAACAAAATATTTATTTGTTTCTGATTGAAACTTTAGGACCTTTTTTTTTAAGTGGAACAGTAAATGCCATTAAAGAAATTAAAAAAATATTCTTGCTTTCAAAATTTGTTCATGAAACCTCTAAGAAAATTAGTTTTATTTAAGGAGGCATACACAACTTGTGAAGTCAATGGCAAAAAAATGTGGTTTTGTTTCATGCTGCACCTAGATGTTAATTATATAATTGCTTGTAAATCCTTGTATTTATATGTGTATTTTATATTTGATAATAGTTTCAAATGTTTGATTTTATTTAATCCAGGTGCAACAAAAATATACACATACAATACTTTCCCAAATTCTGTTTTGAAGATTTCCTAGGGATTGGTTGAAAATAAAATGATATTTGAATTTTTTTCTATTTCAGTTTTCCCAGCTGGTATGTATGATATTGGAAAAACCATCAATGGAACCATGACGCCATCTCAGATACATGATGAGATTCAGAAAATGCCTGTGGAAGACAAGTTTATGCTGCTGAAGCATCATAGTGTTCCAACCCCAAACCACACTTTCCCTAGCAGTTACACTGGCGGGTGCTATCGTTCTTTCAAACAGGCCTGGTTAAAGGAACATCCGTGGATGGTCTACAGTACACATCTTGATGGAGCCTATTGTATGTCATGTGTTCTCTTTTGTAATGACAGGCAAGGGAAGGGTATATTCATAAATAAACCCTTTACAGCATGGCAAAAACGTTCAGAAAAATGCAGAGAGCACGAAAAAACGAAATACCATCAGGACTCTTTGCAAGTAGCAGAATCATGTCTTGCAGCCTATGAAAAGCCAGAGAAAAACATTCAGCACATGATTGATGAGAAGAAAGCAGCCAACCGAGAAAGAAACAGGGCCGTGGTCAGAAACATTGCTGATATAGTTTTACTGTGTGCAAGGCAATGCATCGCCTTGAGGGGAGACAGTGAACAGCCAGATTCAACAGGCAACCCAGGCAATTTCCTGAGCATTCTGAGATTTTTGTCCAAGAGGGATCCTGTGATGAAAGAACACTTGGACTCTCCTGCCATGCGAAATGCAACATATATGTCACCACAGACGCAAAATGAAGTGATAGATATTTTAGCGAAAGACATTGTCTTGGCTAATATAACAAGAGAAGTTCAGGAGGCAAAGTTCTTTGCAGTACTTGCAGATGAAATCTCTTCCCATAACTCAGAACACTTAGCTTTGTGTGTGCGGTTTGTTGATAAGGATTCATGCATAAGGGAGGAGTTCTTGAAGTTTTTGCCTCTTCAGCGCATCACTGGTGAGAATGTGGCCAGGGAAATCCTACAGGCCTTGGAAGATGTCGGCCTTAACAGCGAGGACATCAGAGGACAAGGATATGATGGTGCTCCAAATATGTCTTCTGGCAAGGTGGGTGTCCAGGCAAGGATTAAAGAGGTAGCACCTCTTGCGACGTACAGCCATTGTGGTGGACACTGTTTGAATCTGGTCATTAGCCACAGCAGCTCTATACCAAATGTCAGGAATGTGGTAGACAAGTTAAAGCACTGTTGTCGATTCTTCCAGAACAGTCCAAAGAAGGAAGGGTTGCTGGACCTCATCGCAAAGACCAATACCTTTGGAGAGGGTAGAAGGAAGGTCTTATTAGACTTATGTAGGACCAGGTGGGCAGAGCGACATGGTGCGTACCAGCACTTCTACACTGGATACACCTTTTTGGTCGAGGCATTAGAAGTCATTGGATTCAGGCTCTATGAAGAAGAATACAGTGAATACCAAGATTGGGATCCAGGCAACAGAAGCGAGGCTCAACAAATCCTGTCAAGCATAACCTCATTTGAATTAATAATTACATTTCTGACCATATATCAGTACTTATCACACCTCTCAGGGATTACGATAAAACTCCAAAACTCCGCTCTGGATATTATTCAAGCACACAGCATGGTAAGTGTTTTTGATGCAGAATTGCAAATAAAATATCATATATATATATATATATATATATATATATATATATATATATATATATATATATATATATATATATATATATACATTTCTTTAGACATAAGATTAATAACTCAGCTGTTTTTAATATCCAAAGTATTTTGTCTAGAGTAGGATTAATATGTTTTTCTTATATTGTTTCAGGTTGCAGAAGTGCAGGAGTTCTACTTGAAGGAAAGAGAAAAGGTCACAGAGTCGTTTCAGTTGATATATGACCAAGCAGTGCGGATGGCCGAGAAGGTCGGTGTTCAGCCAAGCAAGCCCAGAATTTCTCAGAGGCAGAAACATAGGGGCAACGCTCCTGCAGAAACTGTGTTTGACCACTACAAAGTTAATGTTGCCATTCCTTTCTTGGAGCATATCAGTAATAATCTGAATGCTAAATTCTCTGGTAAGTTCATCTTTAAAAAATTATCTTGTGAAGCCCATGTTCTATCACAGCGTTACATTATTTCATTGCTATTATAATACATGACAAGAAACATAAAATAAACATCCAAACATATTGTCAGCACATTATAATAACTTAGTGTTTCTTTATTTGATAATTACTAATTAACTTTTAGGTTTGTCAACCACAGCCTCTTCCCTCCTGGGATTGCTGCCATCAGTGATCTGTGAGCGAGAGATGGATGTCACAGATATTGTCAGTACTTATGAGAAAGATCTTCCCTCCCCAGAGCTAGTACCTCTAGAAGTGAGAAGATGGGAAAACAGGTAATTAAGATCAGTGATATATTAGGTGCATTCTGCAAACTGAATGGTTTTATTTTAATATGAATGAAAAGAACACTGGTACTCTTAGATTGTTTTAGAAATTAGAATGATTTGTGTATTTCAGATTTGACAAAGTGCCAGAAACGGAGAGACCAAATAGCCCAGCACTTGCCATAAAAAAGTGTGATCCTGATGTGTACCCTAACCTCTATGTACTGCTGAAGCTTGCCTGTACAATCCCTGTCACGTCTTGTGAGTGTGAGCGCAGCGCCAGTGCACTTCGCAGACTGAACACTTACATGCGGGCGTCCATGAGTAAGGTGAGGTTGAGCAACCTTGCATTGCTTCATATTCACTACAGCATGGACATTGATTTAGACCAGGTAGTAGATATTTTTGCTGGAAAGCACCCACGGAGGATGGATTTAGACTCCCTTGTTAAGCCTTAAATATTCTGGTGCTTAATCTCAATATTTGTTCATTATTGTAAGATTATAGATATGCTGTGTATGCATTTGCAATACGCCACTTTGGTTGTGTATTATTAATGTGCAATTAAGAATTTTTCTTATAGATGATGAGTTCTAAGATCACATGTTCAGCTTCAGGCAAGAGTAATAATTGGGGTGCATTTTAGGAATGGTGCATAATTGGGTGCAAATTAATTTTGTCCAATTTTTGGTATAAATTACTGTTGTAAAAATGGAGCAGTTTTATGAGGCTCAAGTTTTTTTTTCACATTGGTGCTAAAGTCTATCTTATCTATATAATATATGCAGTATGGTTCTGTTTTACTTTAAATCACATGGAAGATTTTGTGTGATGGCAGTATAGATTCATTGTGCAATTTCAGTTTTATACATTAAATGTTACTGCATATTACTCATGATCCTGTGATATTTTTGTTTTCCTTACACTTTGTTTGAGACAAGATTTAGGAAGGGGGCTTTTGACTCTCTTGTAAAACCTTTAAATATTTTGGAACATAATCTGTATATGTTCATTATTGTAAATTTATAGATATGCTGTGTATGCAACTGCAACTTCACTTGTGTATTAGAAATGTGCAGTTAAGAATTTTTCTTATAGATGATGAGTTCTAAGATCACATATTCAGCTTCAGGCAAGAGTAATAATTGGAGCATTTTAGCAATGGTGTATAATTGGGTGCAAATTAATGTTGTCTAATTTTTTTATGTAAATTGCTGTTGTAAAGATGGTGCATTTTATGAAGCTCAGCAGGCTTTTTTCACATTGGTGCACAAGTCTTTATTATCTATATAATATATGCAGTATGCTTGGTGCTGTTTTACTTTAAATCACAAGGAAGATTTTGTGTGATGGCAGTATTGATTCATTGTGCAATTTCAGTTTTATACATTGATGCTACTGCATATAACATGTTTTGCTGTGATATTTTTGTCCTTCTTACACTTTACTTTAGGGTATGTAAAACTTTTCAGCAAATTAAATATGCTCAAAAGACTAACATTGCCTTTGTTATTCTTCCATGAAAAACTTCGAAAAACGATTAAAATATCACAAGTTTCGTTTCGCGAAAAAGGTCCACTTTTTCAGGAAAAGAACCCCCCCTTTGAAAATGCTGGCTACGGGCCTGCCCAAATTTGTCAGTCCAACATACTCACACTTCTCCTTCTACATGATCTCATGCAAATTTGCTTTATAGTTAATGCAAAGAGTTTGCGATGGATATGAGCAAACGATAACGGGTTAAGTTGTGTCAGCCACAACGGAAACCTAGAGTAAAGACAGATTGAGTAAGAGAATAAAAAGCTGAGGAAATAAAACCAGTCATAATTTTAAAACTTTTAGATCCTATTTATTAAACATCCTGTTGAATCATTTTTTAATGAGTCACGACCATCACATACGTTGCTATTAATAAATAATTTCAAAAAGTTAATACATTAAGTTAATAGCACTATCTATAAATGTTTCTTATAATATGTGGTGCTTGTTTAATGCCCAGACATACGCCCTCCCCTCTGATAAAATCGCCTTCTTCGTGTGCTTTATGCAACATTTCTAATTTATCTGCGTCAATATTTTTCCATGCCACCTTAAACAAGGTGTTCTTTGGTGGTGGGCGTAACGCGTGTACGTAAGTTGTAAACGGGTATTAAAAAGGAATTCACGCTTAGATGACAGGTTTTGCGATAGGTCAGCACGCAAGAGTACTTCAAAATCAAAATGAATGTCCGTTGGATGCAAGCAACCCATTCCCCATCCTCTGTATATAAACCAGACTGGGCTTACAGTACCACATGGCATTGGGAGTAGGGGTGCTATCCGTTACCGCCCACCCCTCGTTTCCCCTCCGCATCCTCGTTCTTCTGCATGAATTATACTGGCACAGATGAACAATGAACACTCATATCTCAGTTTATTTAAAACCAAATAAAATTTTACTTAACTCTCCCTGAAAATTCATTGAAACAGTTGTGTTTGAGATGTCTTGACATGAATTGTGGTATACGCGCGGCGGCGGTCATTGCGTTAGATATGCAACACCAGTGGGGGCGGTCAATGCGTTAAATTTCAACGATTATTTAGCAGTTATGGTGCCTGCTGGCAGCGACTACTTTTGGTTGGCTGTATGATTTCCACGGGTGGATTCTTTAAAATATTTTCCCATATTGCCGTATCACTGCTACTTCACCCTGGTCCCCCAGGGAATAAACCACAAGAAATCATTTTCCCCTCTGTACCTTTTCACTGTGCCGACCCTTTCTCCCTGTGTCATCAGTGAATATACCGCAAGCTGCATTATTGTCTCAACCTCTGATCCACAGATCACTCACTCGTTGTCTATTCGAATTATTTTTTCTCTTTCTGGCGATTATTTTTTCTCTCAGTCTAGCCACCGCGTTTGCTCGTTTTCTTATGTTTAATTTACAAAAGCGTAGGCTAACAATGGTCATTTTGAGATATTGAAATACTGAATACTGTGAAAGCAGTTTACTTAACTGTAACGGTAGTATGTGGACTGAATTTCTGTGTTTAATGATTTACCTTTTATATTTATTTTACGAGAAGCGTACAAGAATGGCATACCAGAGAGTGTCTAAATAGGTGAAGTGACTAAAATGTACGCTGCATATCCCGTCGAGTCCCAAACGCATTCTGGTATTAATTAAGACTACAATGTATATAATTATTGATAGCGCATATTAAACCAATCTGATTATTCAGGCATCAATGGATTTATGTTCAAAGATTATGGGCAGATAGAAGCTGTCCCACCTATTATTGCTTTTTTCATCATATTGTACCTCATATCAAGCAGCTTCAGATGAAAGAGAATACACAGCTGAAACCAGCGATAGCAACACATGCTCTATGAAAATATGTCTGGATACATAACGTGGAGACTGAGATGTTGGGTATAGGCTACTACTACTACTACACCAATGGACAACAGAAGTGTCACCCTCTGAATCAGAGTAATAAAATAATAATCAAGTTATCAGTAATCAAAGTAGGCAGATCTTGAGTAGTTATAATGCCTGGTCTACATTTTTTTCTGAAATTTGATGTTAATAAAATGTTAATACATACAGTTAAAGCACAATTTATTACATTCTTATGTATTATGGTGTAATAGTGGCCGCAAATCCAATTGTGTCAGCTGCTGAATTATTTATGGAAAGTTGCTACAGTCTGACGCTCAGCAGTTCTGTAAAAATCTTGTTGTATTGGCGAATCCATTTAAGAAAATAGTTTGATAAGCTGCAGTTCTCATCTGAACGTCAGGTGAAGTGTTTGAAGAATTCATCACGGGAAGACAGTCAATATTTGACAAACTTATACTTGCTTCACAGATATTATACATCATACAACATAAAAGCAGCGCTTTACAATATTACACCAGCACGTAGCTGAAGATACATTTCTCATTGACCGCAAATAGGTTAACCCAGTAACATGTTGCTCATATGGCTTAATATAACTCTGATCTGTTCCATTTCATCTGTATTTGTATTCTGTATCTACAGTAGAACGGGGAGTTATTTGCAATAAGAGAGGAAATATTCACCAAAAGGAATCTGCTTAATGGCCACGAGGGTAAGCACGAGGCAGAGTAAGTTTGGCGTGACCTGCATACACGTAGATTTGTTCTTCTGTATGATAGATTCTGTATTAAATTTGTTCTTCTGTATGATAAAAGCCAAATAATGTGATTAAGTGATGACAATGAAGAAAAATGTGAAAACCAAGTTGGAGAAACCCGATGTAGAAAGACAAAGCAGAAACACGTAATTTGGCCTCATTTTGACATATTTTAATTTTGATGACCAATCTTAGATGATAGAAATGTCAGACTGAGCCTAGAAAGATCCAACATCTAAAGTTATGACTGTCGAAGATAATACTGATGTTAAGAGATATTTTAATCTTGAAATTAGATAGCGTATATGACTCCGGTTTAATTATTCATACACTGATATATTTATGTTCAAAGATCATGGACAAATGGAAGCTGTCCGACCCATCCACATCATTATAGATATGCGAGGTCATTGCTTTTTTTATCGTATTGTACCTCTTCTCATATCAAGAAGCTTCAGATGAAAGAGAATACACTGCTGATACCAAAGATAGCAAAACATGCTCTCTGAAAATATGGCTTGATACATAACGTGGAGACTGATAGCATGGGTGTAAGCTGCTGCTGCTACTGCTACTACTCCTACTACTATCCACAACCAAGTGGTCGTAATTGCACTATGTTGATTTTCTCCTATTATTTTCACTTTTGTTAATATTCCGCAGGGTGAAAGCTAGCCGAAAATAAGAAATGAACACGTTAAGGTGACTGATAGTAAAAGGACCAAAGTCATAGAAACAAAGCCCTGGGCTTATAAGTTTTTATAAAAAATTAAAACAAACTTCCCAAAAGGCTAATTAAAGACGGGGATTAAGTACAGTGTCCAACGGATGACGCTCTGGCGCCAATTTGAGGGGAAAAATGCCATTTTCGGTATTGGGATTTTCTCTATAACCAAGACAGCTATTCAAGTGATTCAAAAGGCCTCATAAAGCTGGGTAAAAGCACTACAGCGCGGTACCAGGGATTTGTCTTAAACTATTTACTTTTGATTTTATCATCTTTTACGTTAAATCAGCCCATATTTCAATGGGTTATTCACTTCAAAAGGTGATAACTTTCAAACAAACAATTTCATCTTAAACCCCTGACATCATGCTGTAGTCCACATTCCTAACAACAATAGGTGCAACTTTTGTAACGATCAGTTGCTCAGATAGTGAGATATACTTGGCAGCGATTCACTTATCTCGTCAATATAGAAAGCTGTTAAAACAGCCAAAAACGTTCACAGGTTGGTTAACAGGGCTTATTAGTCAAATGCTTAGCTGGCAAATTTACCTGTTATCGGTTAAACGATCAGATGGAACCATTGCTTATTGTCATCTAAAAATATTTTGTTTGGGTGCTTTGAAGGGGCAGAAAATCGTGCTTTTGTCACATTTTCCGACCACTAGTTAGGCATGCAAGCGTGCCGCCATTTTGATTGACAGCTCTGGAGAGGGCCCTAGCCTTGTGATGCCCCGTAGGGTGTCAAGGATATGTAGAAGGAAGCGCTAACAAAGGCG